CGTACAGATAATAACTTGAAAAGTCATTATGAAATCACCGTTGACTGCATACTTAATGGTTTTTCATCAGTGCTGATTCATGTCCGAGAAGAGATATCAATAAAATGACAGGTGTCAAAATTTTCCAAGACTGAGAGAGAGGCAGCGAGAAACGGAAAGAGAAATTGAATCGTCTGTATCAGCAATACGTCAAGGTTTATTTCGACATGAACAGTATACTACAAACATTTAAAAATTGATTACAGACATCTCGTGTACTGCGATACATCGGCGTAGCCTCGCTATTTGTGTGAGTAACGAATTAGTACCCACTCCGACACGAGACTTTATAGACTACCATTGCGCGTGTTTCCTATCACCGACTCTCGTGGACGCTCATGGCGAAAGCGAGAACGTGTTTCTCGACCATGTATAAATAATAGGGCCGCGTCGGCAGTCGCTATAATTCAATTCACACCTGATAACCGCGACCATAGAATTTCCATATTACAGACTATAATAAAATTAAAAATATTTTCGGGGCGGTCCGCGCGCCACAGGAGTCTCCTTTCTCGTGTCCGGCAGACGAGGATCGCGATCCTCCACTGCGTTCGCCGACACTACGAATTTGTTCCCCGAATTTGTTTCTCGTTGTCGCCGGTGGTCCGCCGACAGCTATGACATACGAGGGAACGCAAAACGATACCAGGAGATCGAAATATTTGTATGTCAGATAAATGCAGTGATACTAAACGCTAGACAACTAATTACGAATGCAACTCTTGAAGTTCCGCTAATGCCATCAATTTGTCAGGTATGGACAAGTACCAAGCGACTCAAATTATAAAACCGCGAATGAATAATGATTTATTTATATGACATTCGGCAAAAGATTTGAAATTTATTACAAAGAGAGAATTTTCTCTTAGAATGTACCCTGAAAATTATGACCATGATTTTTTCCTGGATGAATTTCTACTCAGAGAAAATCGTGGGACAATATAGTATTGGAAAAATTTTATAAAAGTTGTTAATATCTATAACTAAATTAATTTAAAATAAATGGTAATTACTATAAATCTGAATTATATAATTTCTAATGGTAAAAAAGTGCTAGGTTAATAGATTCTTTTTTATTTTTACCGGAAGTTTCTTGGGATCATTCATGATATATTTATAAAGTTTTTGATAAAGTCTTTATCGAGTAACGCATTGTCACATTGTCGCATATGTCTTCTTTCCGTGTAGATGACCCATTTCAGATCACTTCGAATCTTCTGCCAATGAAGAAATAAGTATATATGAATAACGTCGCGCATGTATCAGTTCGAGATGATCATATAACAGTCTATATGGCTCGCATGGCTCTATAGCAGAAGTATCTTTTGCTCTCTTATATGCAGTAAAATATTCTCACAGGTCACTGGCCTCCTTTTTCTCTTTATTCCCTTTTTTCGTATCGCGTTTATTATTTCGCATATAATTTCTATCGGCAAATTCATGAAATCTTTTTTTTATATCATGGAATTAATTATTATTATATTGATCATTGCTTTTGAATTAGCGTAGGATCAGTCAATAATAAATATCTAATAATACTTATTTATGAAGAATTTCTGTGGATAATTTTGTTAAATAAAAGAGACACAGTGAGCGTGTGTTAAACGAAATAATGATTTTTCGAACAAGAGTAATATTTTGCGGGTTGTTCTCCACGCTTGTCTATTCAGGAGAATAGGAGTTACGAGCAATTCATGGGAAATATGGTTAACCTAGTGATGTAGAATTTAATGAGGTTTCGCTTATTTCTCTAATACGAGAGTACCTCTGTTTATTCACCATTGTTTGCTTCGTCTTTTGAACTGTTGTGCCGTCCTAGTTTGCATTACATTGATTTTGGTTTGCCAAATTACCGCGTATTGTACCTATTGAAAACATACTTATGAGAGTTATATATACAGAATGCTTTACGAATTTGCTGCATAAATCACAACAGTGAGCATATAAAATAATAAAACAATGAATTAATAAAAAATTATTCGAACAGATTAATCTACTTATTCATAATTTTAATTATACATAATGCTATTGTATTTTAATAGTAATTAATGTTATTGTAATTGGTATTTTATAATTGACTTTATATTACTATATTTAATTATTTATTTTTAGCCTCTATATATTTTTTTATATTCAATAATTATTTTTAATAATTTACGAAAAAAATAAATTGTTTATATTTTTTTAAACAATTTTAATCGTACTGTCGACATCGTATTTGAATTCGTGACTACTCGTTCTCGCCAAAGTTCTCACGCCAATCTTCACAGAGATTACGCCGTCGATTCCGAATGACCAGGCGGGAATCTTTGGAATGTTATGATCCACTCGATATAAAGGCATGAAAACTCACCCCTCTCGTATAAATATTTCCAATAAATATCAATATTAACTGTTGGTTAACGCCTACGTCGCGTGTAAAGGTATTTTTCGATAGCTTTTTATTGCGTGGTTGATTAATACTCACTTTTACACATGTTTATGACGTATGCAAATATTCTACGGTATAGATATTTATGTTATATCAGTATGTGGAGATATGGATATGTTTTGATAAAATATATTTTTTTATTTATTTTAATTGATGAATCTCTAATTAATTTTTCATTACATTAAAATTTTTTGTTAAAGACAAACAAGACACATACATATGTATATCGGCGCACATGTCTTGCACTATACTATATAGCCAATACACGTTGTTGGCACGAAACGAAATATGATTTAACATCTGTCCCTTTGTTGTGTTTTCGACCAGCCAAATTTGTCGGTGTGCGAAGTCTTGTTTTGGTCTCCCACCGTGCACTTTTTAGAGATACTATTCAGATATTACATTTAGATTTATGTACATATATGAAGAAATATTTCATTCTAATTTGAAATGTTTAAATCAAAATATTAAATAAAATGAGTTTTGTTTTTGAAATTTAATATTGAACTTTTTTGTCCATTTTTAAAAATAAATTTTGTATCTATTTAATCTTTAAAAAATTAAAAATATAAAAATAAATAAAGATGTATTTAATTAAAAAATATTTTTTTGCTATTATTCCTTTTAAAAAATTTTAGCTGTTAGAAAAAAATAAATTCTTTAAAATTGAAGCAATTTCAAATTTTTTCACTTTTTTAAATTTGTATTTAAAATTTGTATTAAAATATTACTCAATGCTATATACTATATTTACGGATGTGAATGAGAATGTGAATGAAAATTTTGAGCGGTACAACGAGCGGGGGAAAGTTTATGACATTACGACGGATGCTGCGCGAACTCGTGCGGACCGTCAGAAAGATTCACAATACAGGCGCGGCCGATAATCCTGATTTAGACGGGCCCATATATTAGACTAAAGATCGTGAAATTGAATGGTGGAATCAGAGATCCGGCTGTCAACCGCGAAGAGAACGGAGTATATCATGCGAAAAATAAACTGCCCCTCACGCACGAAGGGGGTTAGTAAATTTCACAGGTGAGCAAAAGCTACCTGCAATCCTCTCTCTCTTTTTCTTTTTCTTCCTTTATCGTGGCCCACGTTCCCGAGCTGCCGATTTCGGTCTTTCCGTCGAGGAGTGCCGCGAATGTTCTCTCCCCCGAAGGCTCGTAAATCCTTGCATTTACCTCGCTCGTTCTTTCCTTACTTGGAACATAAATATGCATAGCATTGTTCCCTGTGAATTTCTGATTTTACATCATAATATGCAGCACTGCATGTAATTACTAAATTATTAATTACTGTCAATCTTTCGTGGTTTAAAGATTTTTAAAATTTACATTGCAAAACAGAAATATTTACTGTACTAAACCGCATTTGTTCAAAATTATTAATGTATTATACAATTAATTTTTTTGTAGTACATTTAGCGAACGTATCTTCTATACATTGTGTAATTTTGTGCGTAAGCAGCATTTTATAAATTATATGTTGATTGTGAAACTGCGAAATTACATCTTGAAATGTGAAACATACGAAGGACAGGATCGCCTATCAAAAGGATAGGAAAAGGTCTCACGCCTAGTCAATGTCGGATTATTACGTTCGGATACGAAAGCCATACTCCGTTATTAATGCGACCGATACTCATTCCATACTCATCTGTAGATACGATCTCTCCGCCCAACCAATCGGATAGCTAACGTCTAAACCCGTAATTATCATTAGCCCACCCATAGCGGGTGCGATGCTACAAGTCGACTAATGAAAGTTTCAATTACCTTCTATCCTATTCTATGCAACTTGTTAACTTAAAATATGAACGTATATACGTAAAATATGTTACAATATATTCTTAACTCAACTTTATGAGGATATACATGTATATTTAATCTTAAATAGATAAATATATATGTATATCTGCAATTTTTCAATTCAAACGTGTGTATCCTTTAATTTAGTTGTTGCAAAAAGTTTTCACTCATATTTATAGAAATGCATGCCGTAATGATACGTTATGTCTGCGAGATAGAATTAACAGATTGCATGTTCGATACATCGATAAGATTGTTGATATTATTATATAATCGCGTCATCGTGCCCGTGGCTAAAGCGTGCCTTTAAACTTTTTTTCTGGGTGTTCATCGACGTCACCGACGTATCGTTGACTTGAGTCTAAGACCTATCTAAGACTTGAGTCAATCAATCTTGTTAGCGATCGTCTCGTGCGGGCTATTAAGCTCGCGCTATTAATAATTTAGTTTAATTAACGAGAAATAGAAGATGACTTGCGTATCGTGTATATATATATATATATATATATATAGTTATAGATATATATATATAGTATAAGTCTCGTGAAACGTAGATATATACAGCGGTGGTTAACGGATTGCGGAGATGAAGTCGTTCATAGACGCGATTTAAAATTTCTTCCGAAGCACAATGTAATTGCGGTTTGCCGCTAAACTCGCTATTAATTATCTTTTGTGGCGTTTCCTGATGAGTGTCGTTTTCTTTTTGTTTCAGACTATAGCGAAGAATCTGCAGCCGCAGCAGCGGTAAGTATCGGCATGACTTGTCATTCGGGCAAACCTCGTGTAAAAGTGTAAATACCATTGCCTATCTTTTATCCCGCAAATATCTTGCTCTTGCGTTTCTAGTACGGTGCAGAATTTCTCTCCTGGCAGACAGGGGATGATGCATGAACGTACTAAAACACATTTAGCGAGATCGACGGGGCGATGTCGCGCCGTGGTAACTCGATGCGCGAAAACGAAAAGGAAGAAAGAAAGAAAGGGAAAAAAATAGTTTCATCCGTTCGTTGATAAATCGCGTCGTTCGTAAAAATTATAGCAATGATTATAGTGGTGCGCTCTCGAAGACGCGATACTTCTCACTTGGTCAGTTACATAAATCTACGGGATCACATTAGCTCGCCGTTAATAGCTTTTAAATCGACTCGTATCCCAATAAATTTCACGGGAGCTTTTTTAATAACATCTCAGCGCGCGCGTATACACGAACGAGGGTTGTTTATTTATGGGGAATCGTTCGTTCTCGAAAGCCGAGGGCCCGTGCTCGTTTCCTTATATCTATACGCATGCACGCACGCACGTATGCATGCACCTGGTACGTCTCTCAGGGTTTTGATATATCGAAAGGGATGGTGAAACTATTTAGGCCGACACCCCCGCCTAATCCGAACCGAGCCGTTTGCTTGGAGAACCTCAGAGATTTCCTCGCTCTTCCCTCGATATAATCATCCAGTCATACAGA